GGACCATGCATAACCGGGTCAAGTACATACCAAATATAGTTACGGGCTTAGACACTAATCCAACAGTATGTCGTCTAGTGGTCGCTCTCACGGTGGAGGTGGGCGTAGTGGGAAACCCAGCTTAGAGGAGGTGTTTAAACTCACCCTTTAGGTAGGCTCCATCTACTAAAGGGTCGGTTTACAAAAATTGACAAAAGCGCGTACCTACAATACATTGTATATCTATTCAAATACACCAAAATAAAAATAAAAAAATTAATAAAATATTAAAATACTAACCGAACAACCAAGTGCGACATACAAAAACTTAAAGCGATCATCACCATATGTTTTAATATGTGTCACCGTACCCGGATTATGTTTGACCAAATTGTGGAAATAAGTTGGAAGTTTGGTAAAAGAATCCTCTTTCGTACCCCTTAACAACAACAATGCATATTGTTTCGCACGCCATGCTTGATGGTAGGAGATATTGATATTCAATTGAGCATTCATATCATTAATAATATCTTTTCCCCGATAAACTCTACTATAATCTTCAGCCAAAACATCAGCAAGATATTCACCCAAAACATATTTGTTTGCTTGTCGATGATTAGGTTGCAAAATTGTTGAATAACATGTGTGTACATCAACATATTTATTCACTTGGAAAAGTCCATCAGAATTTTTAATTGTTTTTGCTCTTAATAACCAAAAACAATTTTTTGAAACACACACAACCTCATACATTGATTTGGTGGATCTACTTGTCCTCGTCTGAAAACCTTCTCGAAGACATTTTTTACCAATAGCCCGCTTTAAAAGTTCTTTGTTCTTAAATATACTCGCACATTCAATCTTTTGAAGATTGATGTCTATCATCTATGTTGGGATATCTTCATTAATATCAACTGGACATGCTGGTAGAGGGGGTATACCGTAAAAAAGGTTATCGGGAAACTTAGCTTAACTTCATCACCCAACTCATCTCCATCTGAATTGCTTTCTAAGTCGGTTATATCTAAAGCTACATCAGCAACATCAACATAATCCTCGTAAACATGCTTTTTTCATCTTTTTGACGCATAATTTTTTCCTTTTTACTTTTATCTACTACACGCTTATTCATAACTTTAACTTCTTATTCAGGAACATCAACACAACGACCACCCACGTCATTAAGATATGTACCAACATCATCATCACCAATATACTTGTAATTCTCAGGATCCACATAGTGAATAGGTGAAAAAGTAACATTAACATTTTCAACAACACTGTGAAATTGAGGTACACTAGGAGTATTGAAAGTACCTATCGGATCGTTGCTCCCTTTATAGCTGCATAAATTACCAACCGGCTGATTTCCACTCTGACCAGCCTCATTAACCTCATCTCCTTCATCAACCACCACAAACACTTTCACAGCCCTTCCTCCACTACATTACATTTATCAACATTCTAACATCCATGTCTTAAACTATGGCTATATAATAATTCAATTCAGTATGATGGAAACGAAGACTAATTCTATATTTCTCTAACAAACCAATTTTGCTTCTCACAAAAGATACAAAATCATTATAACTAATATACTCAGAAAATATCAAAGTGAATTCAGAAATACCTCCCTGTGGACATACATATTCCAGATTTGTTTCAATAATTTGTCATCTCCCACCAGTTACAAGACAAACCAAATATTCAATTATTTTTTTAGAGAGATTTTAAAGAAATTTCCTAAAAAATAATAAGTAAACTGATAATTTTCTACAAAACTTTATATATAATAAGGTTATTTCGTAGTCAAACCCATTGATTTCATAGTAAAAAAAAATCATAAAATCGCAGATCAAAAAGAGAGGAAATTGCAGGTGGACACAGTCCATCTGCGATTTTAGCCTGGTAAACTTATATATATACAAAAAAAAATTAAAAAAATACTCACCTGTGAATGTACAAGTGGCTAAAACACAGATGTGCTTTAGCCACTAATAAATTCGCAGATGGACCATTCCCATCCGCGATTTCGGTGGCCAAATTTGTAATTTCAATTTTTTTTGGTTATTTTTCACAAAGTAATTAGTATATTTTGCTAAATTTGTCATTTTCTCTAAAAAATATATATATATATATATAAAAACTAAATTGATTATCAAACCAATATGCAAGGATTTTTTAATGTTTTTCTTTACCTAATTACCACCGTTATATGTTTTTCTTTATATAATTACCACCATTATATGATTATATGTGTAGTGAGTTGTGGACAATAGGTTTTGTTTAGTACAAATATGATAACCTTAATTTATATCGTATTTATGTTTTTGGATGTTGTGCCACGGAGGGTGCATACTCCAAAAAGTGGTGTGCTCAAACGGACGATCCGAAGAAGACACCTCTCTCCTCTCACTCTCTTTCTCTCACTCTAGAACCTTCATGTTTAGGTTGATGAATTCCTTACCTCTTTCTCCTCTTCTCTCTTTGCAGCATAACGAAATGGTATTATGTTAATAAAGAACGAAAAGCTATGCTCCCTTTTTGTAAAATTTTCTAATTAATTTATAATTAAATAATCTCTCGACGGCGATCTATGAGCTGAATTCGATCGATGAGTAGTTTCATCTATACTCCTCAATCAGGTAATCTCTTCTTTGATTGCTTTAGAATTGAATTGGGTCAGTTTACTGTAATTTTGAATTGTTTTTCTCGAAATCAATTTTCGGATTGGATCGATAAAATCAACTAAATTTGCAGAAGAATAAAAATCCCTTTTCAGTCTAGTGTCAGTTACTAAGCCGATCGATATTATGGCTGTTGTTGAGAATGGTGGGTCGAACAGTCATGTCGAACCAAACGATGTTGATCAGTCAAAATCATTGATTTCGAAATCAAGGTCAAGTGATCAGCATCAGAGTTCCGATCAGCAGAAGACGACACCACCTAATGGAAATGGTAGTCTGGCATACAATAACGGTGTCTCAAACAATCATCATCAGCATCAGATGACTACGAATGGCGTTGATCATCATAATCAGGAAGACGAAGAAGAAGAAGAAGAAGAAGAGGGTTTTAAAAAAGAAATGCGTGATTTAGCTGAAATGCTATCAAAATTGAACCCTATGGCTGCAGAATTCGTACCCCCTTCCCTCTCCAACAACCATCCTAGGCCCCTTCTAGTTCCCCCATCTCCTACTTCTCACTTTGGTTATGCCGCCATCAACAATTTCCTTCTCCAAACTAACACTACACCAGCTTTCACCAACGCCAATTCCAATGGAACTTCTACTAGACGGGTATACCCAAATCATCATCCCTAATTCTCTCTGTTGTGTATTTCTCTTTCTGGTGTTGATTCTTGTGAGGATTTTAATGGTTATGGATAGAAGAAGAGTAACTTTAGTCATGGGAAACGAAGGATGAATAGCCGAACTAGCTTGGCACAAAGAGAAGATGTCATTAAAAGGACTGTTTATGTGTCTGATATTGATCATCAGGTACTTGTTTAACTTTAATTTCATTCTTGCTTTGATTCCCATTAGTAAAAAGCTTCAATCTTTATTTCCTCTTGATTTAGGTTACTGAAGAACAACTTGCAGCTCTCTTCATAGGCTGTGGACAGGTTGTAGATTGTCGTGTATGTGGTGATCCAAATTCTGTTCTTCGGTTTGCCTTTATAGAGTTCACAGATGAGGGTATGCCAATATAAGTTTACAAACTTTTATTAAACAAAATTTTTATTTATCTACTTACTTAGATACATTGAATTGTGTATTTTGTGGTTGCAGAAGGTGCAAGGAATGCATTGACTTTAGGTGGAACTATGCTTGGATATTATCCAGTTAGAGTATTACCTTCAAAAACTGCAATTGCACCAGTAAATCCTACTTTTTTGCCTCGGGTGAGATTCTTTGACTGATATTTATGATTTTTGAAAATGGAATAAACTTTGGATATGTGGTTTTGAACTTTTGATGATGCAAATATCATTTCTAATTTTGTTTTAGTCTGAAGATGAGAGAGAAATGTGTGCAAGAACTATCTATTGTACTAACATTGATAAGAAGGTAAGGTAGTTGAAAACCTTTCATTCCATTGTAAAATGTAAAGGACAAGGGTATTATGTGATATATTTTATTTAAAACAGGTCACACAGGCTGATGTCAAACTCTTTTTTGAATCACTTTGTGGCGAGGTTTGTAATTATTCACTTATGAAAATTACAAAGCTATTGATTATTGAATTATTGTTAACTATATATATGTTATGAAATTTCTCATTTCATAGGTGTATCGCTTAAGGTTGCTTGGTGATTATCATCATTCAACTCGTATTGCATTTGTGGAGTTTGTTATGGTAATTTTCTAAGCTTTTTTATGTATTTGTTTTGATCCTCTATAAGATATGCAATTTCTATCTTTTAAAACCATGAGCATATAATCAAATCATTTAGGAGATATGGTTAATCTCAAATATAGAGTAGAACTTGGAGATTCGCATAATGGGAATTTGAACTTTGAATTCATATCTATTATTGATGGAAATGGTTTTTTGTATATTTGAATGTGGTTAATGTCCACAAGCCCCAAATGGAATATTTTTTTGTATATTTAAATATTATTTAGCATATAGTTATTATGATTATTATTATTGGTTTGTTATGAAGTTTTGCTCTATTTATTCCTTAGAAAATCTTCTTATTGTCTTAATTAGGCTTTAGTCTCTTGTTTTTTGCATGATCTATGATAAAATAGCAATTATTAAGAAAAAAAAAGGGTCTTAATCTTTTCCCCTAATTAATAGCTTAATGGATAAATGATGTATAAAAAATATTCTAGAAACCGACGGCGCACTTGGGATTTGGGAAAAACTCAAAGTGGGAATTTTTTTTTTTAAAAAAAGATGACTTAACGGGAAAAATCTTATTTTCCTAACTTTCTTTGTAAAATTGTTCTTTCTGCATTAAGTCAAATAGAAACAGTGATATGTAGCTTTACCATATCAACAAACAGCACCCGTTAGGATACATTCAATATTATATGTTGATTTATTTCTTTTTTGCACATTAGATTTATTGCTTTTTGCCAAAAAAAAAAAGAGTTTTTTAATCTTGATTTCTATTGGATTTTACAGGCGGAGAGTGCAATTGCAGCTCTGAACTGTAGCGGTGCGGTATTGGGATCATTACCAATAAGGTACCGCCGGTCTCTGTCCCGCCTTTTGAGCGGGACAAAAAACAATATCTGTACTTTTTGTCTCATTGACATTAATTCAATCTCACAGTACAAGTACAAGTACAACATGATTTGTCTTGTCTTGTCATGTCATTTATATTGCATTCTCACATTAGATGAGTACAACCTGATTTGTCTTGTCATGTCATTTACGTTACAATCTCACATCAAGATACGGTACAACTTGATGTGTCTTGTCTTGTCATTTCATTTGTATTGCAATCTTAGAAACAGTTTAACCTGATTTGTCTTGTCATGTCATTTACGTTACAATCTCACATCAAGATACGGTACAACTTGATGTGTCTTGTCTTGTCATGTCATTTGTATTGCAGTCTTAGAAACAGTTTAACCTGATTTGTCTTGTCATGTCATTTATATTACAGTCTCACATGAAATACAATACAACCTGATGTGTCTTGTCTTGTCATGTCATTTATATTGCCTTGTTAACATATTTATTGTATATTGATGCAGGGTGAGCCCATCAAAGACTCCGGTTAGGCCACGTGCACCTAGATCTATGGTGCACTAAATCGATGATCGTTTTTCTTATTATAGACTCATCTAGGGGCTATATCAATATATCTAAACATACATATATGTAGGTGAACAAGAACTGGGTTAAGGTACTTTTGTTGGTATTTATGTTTCTAGTTTCTGTCCTCGTCCAAATGTGACCATGGATCTGTCATTATATGTAGAGTTTGGATAAACGATTTAAGCATTCCGTGGTTTATAGCTCATTAAGGTCGAGTTTGTTAAATGGAACTAGAGAATCTGTTTAGGGCTATTTTCGATGATTATGATGAGGACATTTACGTCTTTTGTACTGGCGAGATATCGATAGTATGATAAGTTACTGAATTTTAATTTGATATCTTAAGATAAATTAAAGAAAAATGAGGACAAATTGTAACTCGAAAAGGCTTGGTGATAAATGTCGATTTAAGAAATATTGTCTTGAATACCATTAGGAATCGACAAAACATTTATGTAAATAAAAAAAAATGTCTATATCTGTACATAAATAAATTATAGGACATGTAAGATGTAAATAAAGTATTCCTATATCTGTACTAGTTAATTTTTGGACACGTATGAATTTTGAACTATAACATGCTATCATCGTTTCATAAGATATACATGGCGTACTGTTGGATGTCATTGAATTGGATGGAAAAGTTAAGTAGGGGTTATTCGATTTTGTTTAATCGGTTTTGAATTATGGTTTTGATTTATTTGGTTTGGTTCACTGGGTAGACTGAATAAAAAATTCAATTGAGAAACATATTTGATTTTTATCTTATTATTATTTATTCGTTTAAGCTTGTGTCCCAATTAAATTAAATTAATAAACAAATGTGTCAATATACAAGTTCACATAATTAGTCAAATAATTTAAACAAATCTGTGACAAATATACAAGTTAATGTAATCTCCAATAGGGGTGAGCATAATAACCGAAAAACCGAACCAAAACCAAATTAACCGATATAACCGAACCATAATAACCGAACCATTTTAAAAACCGTTGGTTCGGTTTCTAATTTTTGTTAACCGATATTAACGGTTCGGTTATGGTTTTATAGGTTAACCGAACCATTATTAACCGAACCGCTAACTTTATATTTTAATATATAAAAGTTATAGATTATATATAAAATAATATAGTAAAAGTTATTTAAGACCCATTAAAATTCCAAAATATAATTCATTAATCCTCACTTATCAGGAGACGAACGAACAATCAAATCATAAAATGCTGATCACGCAGACACACACAATCTTCCAATCATGTCAATAGTTAGATTATTCATTAATGTTGTAATTCCTAATCGGCTAATTCTACAATTTGTAAGCATTATTCACAATTAGTTTAATCTTCACACTCATAATCCTAAATGGATGTTTCTCACACCGTTAATCCTAATCAAATATTGCTTTGACTTTATAGACCTATTCGAAGGATTTTTTTTGACTTAATCACATTGAATGTATATGAGTGATTGGATTTTTTTATCCAAATAACAAATAATATAAATGTTTGGCTATTTTATTTTATAGTTTTTGATTTAATCGCATTGAATGTGTATGATTGTTTGACTTTATTTTAATGTTAATATCAACTATCAATATATGAAATTATTAATGTCATTTTTTTAAAGTTTTATATTTTTATTGAATGTTTTTTATTGAATGTGACTATGTGTTATCTCACTCTGAGTATCAAATGTATACATTTTATTCTATTACTATAAGCTAGGTTACAAACATTGGCGTCGATGACTTTTTTGTATTCCGTTTTCATTTTTTATGTCAATATACTTTCGCCATTTATATTATTTTGAAGATTATGGTTAACCAATATTAACCATTAACCAAAACCGTTAACCGACAAAAACCGTTAACCGACAAAAACCATTAACCATAACCATAACCAATATTAACTATACCCAATGGCTACCAAAATACATTAACCAATCATAATGGTTATGGTTCGGTTTTGACCAATAACCGAACCAAACCGCCACATACACACCCATAATCTCCAACGCATATCTATCTTTTAATTCTAAAATAAAATATAAAAAAAATAGTTAAATAGTGTTTAATATTCAACTAGTGAAGATGTCACTCACGGGTCAAATTTTTTTTTTTTTGCTAATGTTTGGTGGGTCATAATGCACACGAAAATCCAATATGTTGTAGTGCATGTCCTGATAAACTTCTTTAAGTCCAGACTACAAACACAAATTTTAGTGAATGTAGTTAAAGATATATTCAAGTATGATTACAAATTGACGGGATGTCAATAGAATTCGAATAAAAAAGTTGTCAAAATAGATTAAGAGGTTTTTGATATTAGAATGTCAACATCTAAAGAAATAATAGAAATTTATCTCCTAATAGTTGACGTAAATTATGATGTAAACCATGCAAGCAAGTTTCATTAGAACTTATTTACAGAAAAACGCAATACAGGTCACAAATGATTAAAAAAAAACTCATGCATCCATGCCTAACGTTAATGCCTCATTTATATATAAAAGTTACTTTAAAGGATGCTAAGAAAATCAATTTGCAAAAAAAGAAACTTATTCAATATAACTTTATGTATAACAGATTATTTACAATGCTCTCATCTACATTGCAATTCAAAATGGTTGTAGAAAGTTTAAAAATTTTAATATGGGCTGAAAGTGAATGCAATTTTTTGCGGATACAATTCAAATTATCAAAGTCATTGCTATGTGTGTGGCGTGTGTGTTTGATGTCCATTTTTTACAAATCCTAGAAACTTGGACGATAAAACTTTCCAACAAATATTAAATACCGCCCAACATCAGCTGTAAAGCGTACATCTTGTAACTGTATTCATCATAACCCAATTGCTAAAAATATATAAACAAAGACATGTTTTGTAAAACCGTTAACCAGATTTCCAGTAAGATAAAAAAAACAGGTAAAATGTACGTATGTCAAGTCAAATAACAAACTACATGAGTATGAGAATGGTCAAACCTTAAATATGTTGTTAGTATCTCTAGTGTTTGACAAAAATGAATCATCCAATCACGTCGCATACCGTTTTTCCCAAAAACAACTACCTAAGTATCTACCTTGACCATATCGCCCCTGAAATTATTTCAAATGTGTAAAAATGAAAAAAAAAAAAAAAGTTGGTGAGGTGTAAAATATCACAGAGATGAATAGTTTACTGAGTTGAATAACGATCTCTCAGAAGTTGCATCTTTGTTACCATCCAATAAAACCATTATGTGCATCCTAGGTGTTAAACCAAAACCATCACCAAAGAGTCCAACTTGTTTTATATGATTAAAGGTTGTTTGTTCCTTGTGAAACCAACAAAAGGGTATTTTAGTAAAATCAAAAACATGCCAAAAAGAAAAATCCATGAAGTATCAGAGTCTATTAATACATCATACATGCATATCAATCATTAATGTTTCTAATGATTGTTTGATCATGCCATATTTCATATATCCTAATAGAAAACTTTTGACTAAAAACAATACCATTTTCTTCATCAGTCTTGGTGCTCGACAATTCTTTCATGGCATGCTTAGGAGTGTAGTCGTTTAAGGTGCCTCTAGTCCTCCACCTTGAGCCACACGCATTACACAACATTGGCTTCTCTGGTGGTCCATTTCTCCATAATGGAGGATTGTTCAACAATACCATTATGCATAGTTATAGATGCATATATGAGAAATAAACTTGGAAATCATGCTAAAAAGTAAAGATTGTAGAATACCAGTTATGTTGGCTCTAGTAGTGCAGTGGTACTCGGATTAAGCTTCTGTCTGGATGCTCCAAGAAATTTCTTTATCAAGTCAATAAATGAACTTTTGTACTCAATCCAAGTTTCATTGCATGTACAGACAGATTTGAAAGGCTATTTCCATCGGTTATAACATATCATTGTGCATACCAACTTTGGAAGTATATACAGGTTACATTGCTTATAAGAAATCATATTAGCAAAAAAAAATCATGCTCAAGATTGTTGAAATATAATTAAATAGGTGCATGATGTTGAAAACTTATACATTGTAGCGATGTCAAAGAGGATGGTATTATACATAAATCATAAAATATTCCAAAAGAGCAATCCAATTATTTGGTGGGTAAAATGGTTTTAGTTTATTTAAATCTAAAATTGCTTCTGTTGCTAATCACGTCATTCTTGTCACTATAATTAGATTATTTCCGAATAGAACCTAACACAGGTTACCATTTGTTAAACAATAAAAACTAACTTATCAACTTATTACATTTTGGTACAGGATAAGCTACACCCAAGCTTTTTTTTTTAACTTTGTTTTAACACCAAATAAGTTAATAAATACTTTTAAACCATAAGTTGTTTTAAATAAGCAATCCCAAACACCCTCTAAATGAACGGTTATTTATGTAATACCATGTAGAAGATAAATATAACACCATCTCCCATAATGGATCAGTGGATGATATAAATGAGTCAAATGCATGGTTTTTGAGGAAAACTATATGCCACGACGTGATGCATGGAGTGTCACGACGTAGCATGCAAGGTAAAGAATGTGTATCTCCGGCGGGCTCCACAACGTGACACAAGGATGGCCACGACGTGGCGATAACTGCAGCCCAAGCCCATGATTTTAGGGTTTCCTCCCTATTTAAGCACCTTAACTCCAATTTAGGCATCACATCCCCAATTTTACGATTATTTTAAAATTTTTATTTTTGCTTATTTTAAAACAGAGTATTTCTTTTGTTGCGAAATTGGTCCCAAAAATATTATTTCAATGTGAGATAATATTAACATTAAACATTTTGAAAGAAACGTTCGATGTTGATATCTTTTCAAAACTTGGGATGTCATAACTGATACAAAATATAAGCACAAACATACCTTACACTAATTTATACTAATGATCTACAACTCCTTTAATCTCTCAGTGTAATGTATATTCGCATCGATACCTGTGATACAAATAACTGAGTGGGTCAGATTGGGAAACATGGTGAGTACATAGGGTTTTCAACCAATAATAATGTAGTTAATATGTTTAATTATCGACTTTTTAACCCAATTAGTCATCCTAGTTTTATTATTTATTTTTGTCGCTAAGGACTTTTCCTAAGGATCATCGCCTACATCACATAGACAGTACTGTTTCGGGGATTACTCCCCCAATACATGTCCGGTAAGGGTTCGAGTATCATTGCATGAATTCGTAGTTACTACATCGCCTGAACTCGTAATTCATCACCTACAGGTTATGAGCCTGTCGGTATTTCCACATGACTTGTTTATATTAGTCAATAGTCGTCATCTATACTCTGGT